GGGGGAGGGATACAAGGAAGCATGAATTGTGAACCAGTTGCAGAGGGAAGAGCAGTAGCAATGTATACTTGAGTATCTGTGCAGAGGAGGATGGGAATTGACAACAACATCTAGCCTGCGAACCTAGAGAAATAGAAACCCTTAGAAAAATGATAGAACAAACTACTTCAAACTCTCATCCTTAATGTGAAAGGATAAAATGAAAGAAAAGGTTGGGAGGAGGGAATGATGAATGTCTTGGGAAACAAGTAGCATCATTTAGAAGAACAAGTGGGAAGAAACAAAAAGAAGAAGGGAGGGGATGGATCATATCTGAGAAATATCTGGAAATATTCACCATGCAAACACAGCTTAACTTGATCAGGAGGCAATTGGTGGCTTTCCTGAGAATTATTTCAATGAATGGAAGTTGAGGAAAGCCATATGTCAGAGATAAAAAATATTAGAAATAATTTAATATGCAGCAGTAGTTGTCTTGAACAACAAACAGAGCAAATGAGCATGGTAGAATGTGGATGGGACAGAAATAAGCAGGTGGGAAAGATGTCTTAAGGACTGAGGCACAGGCAGGATAAAGCAAATAGATAACTGGGATAGAGGGAAGGATAGATGTGAAAAATTAAATGCCTGGGGCAGGGAACAGATGTGAAAGGAAATGTTTGGCAAGTGGTATGAATTTTGTATTTTGAGGTAGTTGGCAAGATCCTGAGCAAACAGAGAGGGGAAAGGAGGGTGGGTAGCTTAGTGGTTTTGAGAAAAGGTTAAGCATCTGAATTCAGTAAGAAGTAGTAAAGATACTTATTGAAAACCAGGCTAAACTATCTGCTTTTAGGTTAATCTGTGCTGCGGAAGAAAGAATCCCAAAAAAGTCTTCTTTTTATGAACTGTATTGAATTCACAATACCTTTCTGATAGTTCTGGGATTTCTGTTGGCGGAGGCTCAAGCAAATCGTATGGCAGGACAACATCTTCAGTTTCCCGCAGAAGCGCATAGATAGGCTCAATCTGCTCATTGAATTTTGCTAGCAAGGTTCTAGCATCTCGTTTGGGAAGCGCCGAGCCATCTTCCTCAACTTCAGCATTGCAGTAGGTGCAACGAAAAGTCTCTGCAACATTGTCCCAGTTCAAAATTCCCAGGTTAATGAAGGATGGAAATATTGAGCAGTGGCCTTTGCTAAGGAATCTACTGAAGTAACAGATTTCTGAAACTCCATTAGATTGAAGCTACCTAAGTTTGTAGGTGTGCAGACAGTATCACCTACTGAATGTCTTCACTACTGCATCTCATCCTGAATTTCAGCTGCCTTGAATTTCAACAGGACGCAGAAACTCTTGAGATATAAAGCCAGTTCTGCTACTAATTTGTTATGCATGTTTGGGACATTCTAGGCTTTCTGACTTGGTTTACCTGTTAGTATAACAAATATGGAAATAATTCTCTTTTGGTATTGTGAGAATTGGTTATTATGTTCATTTACATTTAAGGCATGTACACATTTTCTGATTCTCAATTAGAAGGGTGGGGGAGGGGAAGTCAAGGATGCAACTCTATAGTGCAGAGAAAATCTTCATGCATTTCCAACTATTAATTAAATTTATTCTTAAGACACTCACGCAAAATGGACAATTTATTTCCATTTTGAAATATAAACCAAGACGCAAGAGATGGTTTAGGCTTAGTAAAGTCACTTAAACAGCAATTAGAATCAGGCATCTAGTCTTATGACTTAGTGCTAAATAATCCTTCCTTTTCACTACACATGGTGCTAGAAGCACTGGTATTTCCCTTATACTTCTTCCTCCACACTTCCATCCACCAGACCTCAAAAAAGTGGCAACAAATTTACTTACTCTTAGAAAATCTGCACAACACTAAATTTTTGTAACATGTAAGCAGTAAAACTCTGGGACAGACTGCCTAGAGAGACTGTTAAAGTTCATAAATACAGGCTAGGCAGGCATGATTTTGCCTTGAGCAGGGATTTGCATTAGGTGACTTCCAAGGGCCTTTCCAGCCCCATGTTTCTACAAATATAGGTACACAATGAATATTAGTAAAAGTTTCCTGCAGATTGCAGCAGGTGAGCAGTGTGGCTGGCATACCTGTGAATGTGTCAAACAGCTGATTTACCTCCAGGTCTGTGTAAGTGTTGAAGCAAGATGGACACTTGAAAGAGGACCTAGTGGTAGAATCCCGCTCGTCTGCTTCTATCTTCCGGCGAATGTGATCCAGTTTGTACCTCACTATGTCCACCAACACCTTGTAGTTGATGTAGTAGTAATTGTGCCTTGTACTCTTCCCATTCGGCCCAGTTTCAACTCTCATGCGCAATTTGATGAACTTATCTGCCTTGAGTGTGTTGAGGATGGTGCGCAGCTGTTTGCGTTCATACTTGAGTAGCTGCAACAAGGTGTCTTCCTTCACACAGGGGTATCTGATCAACACATCAAGGGCCAAGGAGTACTCAACCCCATAGAAGCCACGCACCATGTACTTGGCCAGGCGTTTTAAAGCTGCAGGGACTTCTGTAATAATGTTTTGATCTCCCATTAGTAGCTAAACCAGCATCAAAAAGATGAGTGTTAATACATAGCATTAACAGTGGAGAAAAGCTGTTCTTTTGAATCTTTTAATAGCTCAGAGTTCTTTTAAAGCCAGTCACTTACAAAGCTGCTCTTTTATTAGAGCTTGAGTCTGTGCTCAATGGGATTAAACTGAGAGCTAACCACCATGGTTCTGTAAATCCCATTAAATTTGTCAGATCCTTTTGGACCTAGTGCATATATTTGATGATGAATGTACATACAACATTTAAAGGTCCTCTCCTGTTTAAGAGCGCACAAAAGAAAGCTCATTTGCACAACAGTTTAGAATAGCATGGCCAGAGCCTGGCTTATTTTTAGGCCTGGACACAAGAGGGCACTATTGAGATAGAGCTTTAAATCTTAATTTGGCATTTCTTCTCTTAATACTGATTTATACTCTGAATGGAAAAGTCCTAAGGGAATATTCAGCAAGCTGAAAAGGCATAATAGTGCTTCAGCTCTTTCTCTCCTTACCCTGTCAGGTAGTGTGAGACTACCCTTCAGCTACTACATTACCACAGAGTATTGTGTGAGGATTATCCCCAGCTGTGAGATCTGGCAGGCTACAAGCTAGTGTATATTGCTCACATTTGGGCATTTAACCCTAGCTAAAATCAGCCCTGTTCATTTGAATTTATGCTCATTCTCTCCAATTTAACCATCAAGCCCTATTGTTCTATGTGAACTCTCTCTCATTGTCTTTGATTATGTTGGAGTGATGTAGCTATGAGGGTCCAGTGAACATGCAAAAAGGCAAGGATGATTTCTGTGGATGGTATCTTTTTATTGCTAGCTGGGATAGACACAGATGAGCTTTCACATGCAATGCATGAGACTTGAAGAAGAATGCATTTAATCTGAAATTTTTTCAAGTCTATCCCAACCAGCAGCTGGTCCAAATAAAAGGTATCACCCACAAAAATCCTTGCCTCACATCATTTTTGATACTCAGATTCTCCTTTTTAATATCGAGTTGTTGGTTGGCTCTCCTTTTTAATATAAACACTTTTGCCAAACACAGTGCTTCCTATTAGTTACCACAGTAATAGCCTTTTGACCTCTCTATTCTATACACTTGCTGAAAGGCAGTGTAGCCAAGCTAATGAGAGGGATATTCTCCCCTGTGGAAGGCTCCATCACACCAAGGTTTGGGGTTCCAGATAATACAATTTGCAATTTACAATTCTGAAATACCATATAAAATATTAACTGATTGGTTACTTGTTCCTCCCCTTCAAATATTGTGCAAATACCATTAGCCTGGGATACAGAATTTGATGCATTTGCCCAGTGTCAGAAATATCACGAGGAGTAAAATCTAGGAGCCCAAATTCCTTGTTGCAGACGACAGAGCAGTATAACACTTTATAGACTTACTCAGAAAGGCATGAACTTTTGTAGCCTAAATTGGTCAGATGCTATGAATGAACATTTTTAGAGCAAGGGTACTGAGTAAAAAAAGAATAAAGTAATTTAAATACAAAGACAAGGAAAGGAAGAGGAAAGCAGGGGGTACTGCTAAGAGGGGAAGATAGATTGAAGAGATCAAAGCAATTAACTCACTGAGAGACTTAGGGGTTACAAAAGCTGGCTCGGGTAATGCAATAAGAATGTGTAGTCTTGTGAGACCATACTTAACACAATCCAGTCTGTGGATGATTCCTCGTTCTACATTTCATTTTCAAGTCTGTTTTTAAAGCTTTGTTGTTTAACCGTCCTCTGAAGGGAGGTTAATTTTCTGCCATGGGCTTTTTGGTCTTTCTGGAATTGACATCAGAGCTGTGTCCATTCATTCTTTTATGTAGAGATTGCCCCATCAGGCCAATGTCCTTGTTGCAAGATAGGAGCAGGTGTCATCAATTTGCATGGGAGTTGTGTGCATCTTAAAGGTGAGGAAAGCTAGAGCATGTGTGTATCTTGATCACCAATGCTCTAGCAAAAGCTCTCCCAAGTTCAATGTCTTCCTAAGCCTGGATCAAAACCCACAACTTCTACCTTCCCACAAAGCTAAAGCTAATCTGGGGTAAGGCAGGGACACCCTCTGTCTTCCCACTGAAGCTGGCTCATTTGAGAAAGGGGTGGAACATTACTGAGGCCAAAGAGAGAGCTCTTGTTGAAGCCTAACCCTAGTTAGGGTATTCAGCTGGGCTAGGGAAGTCCAGGGGTCCTCGCCCTGCTCCTAGGACTGTCTATGCATTTTACATTAAACAGTCTCTGGATTAAAAAAAAAGGAAAAATCCAGGACTCCTCTCCCAGCCAAGTGCTCCAACCATTAACTTATAGAGCTGTGTCTGCCTCCGACTATGTGAATCTTGGAATACTTGAACAATGGCTTTGCTGAGCTGGCCATTCCCTGTGAGGGATAGATTTGAACATTTTCAGCTGAGAAGGGAGCAGAATTTGCTAGACTCTCAGATGCAGGCACTGCTTTTGCTGTTGCCATTACCTCCACATCAATAAACCCTGCTCAGTTCTTTAATTGAAAAGATGGAGATACCCAACCTCAAAAGCAGATTCTGGGCTCTACATTCTGAGTGGACAGCAGCAGCAATTGCTTAAATCCCCCGTTCAGCCACTTTGTGGTTGTAAAGCCCAACGGTTAAAAAAAAAAAAAAAGAGGGCTGGGATTTCTGATGCACCCATCTGCCCTCAACGCTATTGGATATTTCTAAGCAACTCCCTGGTCAGCATGCTGGCAACATTGGGTCTTACTCCGAGACACCCATTTCTCCTCTCACATTGTACAGGGAGTCCGACTGCAGGGGGATGGGGGGAGCTGGCACTTTAAAGGTCTGGCAGCACCTAACTCAAAGTTATCCAAATCTTTTATTGGATCTACACCATATGTAATGTCAATTGTTGGCTACGTGGTGAACTGCTTTTCACAATATGCTGCCTTAAGCCACTAAATGGAAGCCAGTGATAATTTTGTTCCATGTAATAGACAGAGAAATTAGGGTGATCCAACTGGGAAACAATGTAATCTAGTGACCAAGTCTGGCTTTGGCTATTAGCGAGACCAAAGGCGCATCTCTTAGCTGCATTGTCCTCACCTGTACTGCAAAGATAACATTGGCTTATTTCAGCAGTGCTGTAAATTGTGAAGGCAAGAAAGGAGTATAACTCGTTAACGTTTCACCCCATGAGACTGAAGAAGATTCCTTATGTGAAGAGGTTATAGCACAGCAGTCTCAGTGCTTGAGATTTACTAGATTTTTGAAGTCCTGACAAGTTGAGATTATATAAAAATGCTTCAGAGCACCCTAAACTAGAAACTCTTTTTGAAGCAACAGACATACATTCATCCTAGTAACATTTTAAGTCACAAAGGAAAGTCAGGCACTCAAACTGCAGTTGTGAACTTGTTAGATGACAGAGCAGAGAGCAGAAAGTCTATTCTCCTGTTTCAAGCTTCTTACCTAATTCTTTCTAGAGACTTTGCCACACCAGTAGTTTCATCAAGAGCTACAAATGCAAACCAATTTTCACCAGAAGCCAGTTTATGCTAATAGAGCTTTACACAGAGAAAGTTTTTGATCAAAACACATGAGAATATGATTTTTTTTTTTAAATAAATTATAAATATCAATACCAAATAAAACCCCCCCAAAGAAATAAGCAATTTAAAGCTAATCTGCCTCTGGTGAGAGAAGCAGCATGTAAAGTGAGTACCCCTCAAGAAAACTCTCAAGCAATTTTGAGAGAATCTATCCTACTATCTGCATTTCAAGATTAAAAGTACATTTCAAAATAAAATGTAAAACATGTTCTCTCATGGCATGGGTGTTTCCCTGCTTTAAGACAGACCTGTACACCATCGATATTCTTGGGAAGGAGAGCAGATGATCAAGGCCCTAGTCCTGTAAACTAGTTTATGCTGGTATATGGAGGTCTTCTTAACACAGAGCTCTGCTGATGTCGGTAAAGATCTATTAGCTCACATGCAGCAACTTGCAGTATCAGGCCCTATGCCTTCACATAAAAAATTCAACTATTTGCAGTGTCTTACACAAGAAGCTTTAATTTGGTGGGTTTGAATTTGTAGACTATGCAAGGAAACAGATGGTTTACAGCTATGCTTTACTTCTGCCTTAGGCAGAGCCATTCTTTGAGCTAAGAAAGATCACAGTTTTGGTTTCAGCAGAGTAGAAATTTTGTTCACAGGATCCTAGCAAAGTAGGCCTGGAAGGGACCTCACAAGGTCATCTAGTCAAGCCCACTGCTCAAAGGCAGGATCATTTCTGGCTAACCCATCACAGCCAAGTATGTTTTTAATAGAGGATTTATTTTTAGACTTGAAAAAAAAAAGTTTAGTAGATTTTGAGATTCCCACCCCACACCAACTTTTAATTTTCAAACAATTTGAAAACCAATTTTAAGGCAAAATCCTTTGCACGTGGAAAGCAGTTTCACCTAATAGCTCTATAGCCTTCTTATAGACAGGAGACAGAAATTAAAACTACCAGCAACCAACAAATCTTAACTGGGTCCCATGGAACAGCTTTAGATGTGGCATGTGCAATGGAACTTTCCATAGAACCTCTTTTGCTTCAGGGAAAGTTACATAAAGTTATGTTAGCAGACAATTATTAAAGCAGAATTTCAAGTTAGCTGGCTTCATGAAAGCAGTTCCACAAGATCCTACTTTGCTTAATTTCTTAACAGAGCTGTTAAGAAACTCAGTACATATTGCCCCATATTAATTACTGTGTAGAAGTTTGAACTGTTGATGCATCTTACAAATATTAATTTTATGAGGCTTATTAAAAGAAACCTCAAACAGGTTTTTAAACACAAAACCCCTCATTATTACCTCTCTGTGTAGATGCTGGACAAATTGTCTGGGAAATTTCCAGTCAGCTTGTATAAAAATGAAAAAAACCCAAACTTTCCCAAGAACCCAGAAAGTATCTCTACCCACACTTACCCCTTTCTCTGTCTCCCTAAACCCATCACTGATGAGCCCTAATTGGCAGCCACCTGGAAGGAGAACTTCTCAAAGTGAATCGTTAGCAACAGAATGAAATTAACTTGAGTATTAGAGAGTACTGTTAATGATATAAACCGTGTTCCTTAATACTTGCACTCAAAGCAGAAAAGGATTGAAATTGTGATAAAAACTAATTTAGTGCAGACAGTGAATAGCATTTAATTCATATTTAGAATATTTAAAGTATCACAATAATTAATGTTCTGGAAAAAGAACTACTAATTATTTGAAATTAGTAGGCTAAGCTGCATTGTCCTTTCCCCTCAGATTGATACTAAATTAGTATTGAAAAGCTAAACCCAAACCCTTTCTCTTGGTTGCAAAACAGGTTCTCAGTATAACTGGGTTTAATTTGCATTTAGAGGCTTTCATAACCAAGCACTTTTGGAAGGAGAGAGACTGGAACTCATGTGAAATCCAATGTTTAAAAAAGTGCTTTGCCATCACTAATGATTTTGAGCCAGCAGTGTGCCCTTCTCACATCACTGTGAGATGGATAATATAAGCTCTATTTCATAGATGAGGAAGCTTATGTGGAAAAGTTAAGATGAGTCTCTAGAGCAGCAATTCTCATGGTGCCATGGCACTCTGAGGTGCTATGAAATCTTTTAAGGTGTGCCATGGGGTGCCACGCAATATTAGTACTACTAGGTGGTCAAGCACCTACCAACGATTCACAAGACAAACCTAGAGATTTCAAGTAGGAATCCATACTGTCAAAACCATTCTGACCTGTTGTGGTCTTTCTGAGTTCTTTGCAACAGAATTCCTCTAGTATTTTTCCATAGTCAAAAAAACAAGTGAAAGCTAAGCGCTGGCATTTTCTGAGGGGTGTCTTGAATCTAAAAAAGGGTTGAGGATCACTGCAGGACAAACCCCAACCCAAAGGATGTTATAGGCAGGATTACAAATTGGGGTGCGTCCACACATGCAGACACACATGCTTGCAGCAGCTCAAATAGGCATGGCACAAATTTGAGTTGGGGATTTTTGCCTTGGCGCATGTGTCCAGACATGCACTGTGGTGTGGGGCAAAATAACCCAGCCCATCTCCCCCAGCTAGAGCTTGGGGCCAGCACCTGTGCCTCTGGTTGCCTGCCCCACTTTTTTTCTGTGGGTTTTTTTTTGCTACCTGGATATCCAGGTACCAAATTTTGAACCCCTGCTGCAAATATGCAGCACAGGGAACATTTTTTTTGTTCCCAGTGTGCCTTTTGTCACGGCTCAAACTGCTTTGAGATGCAGCAAGAGGCATGTACGGGCTCGTCTGGATGCGCCCTTGGAAGTCCGAATTTCAAGTCCCATCTTACAATTATTACAGCATGCTTCTCTCAAACACGTGTGTGCTTATTCCTGCATGCATGTAGACACACTCACATGACATAGGCTTCCAATTAGTTGCCACATTTCTTGGTTGTTTCTTCCACGACTGATTCTGCAAGCTGCCCAGCAGGACAAAGCCTGATGAAGGGAATTTATACCTGAAAGCTCGCAAAGAAGAATTTTTCCAACTATTTGATTGGGTCTAATAAAAAATATCAGATTTGCCCAAAGAACCTTGTCTACCCAGCAAGAAAGGCTGCTGTGTCTATGCAGAGTCCTACTGAAGTTATTGAGGCTTCATATTGCATGGGAACATAGTTACATGGAGCATTTTGTAGGATCAAAGTGGAAAGGCAATTACCAGAAGCCAAACCCTGAGAAAAGCCTTGCTGGCTACCATGAGAATTCAGGGTTTGGAACACTTTGCAGGATCCAGCCTATGAGGAGAATTTGGAAATATGGGGCGTTTAAACACATGCTGCCATTTTTCAGCACGGGGACACTGATCCACATGATGCTGGAGCTTGTTGGACCGCAGCAATTACAATGTTCCAGCAGACTCGATTAATTACAGCGTGCGGGAGCAGCCTTTCTGCTTGTGTATAGGTGCCCATGGGTTTGTCCTGCAAATCTGAACTTGAGACTGGGAGAGCCTAAAAAGAACTCATTTAGGCTGAGCAAGTGATCACTGCATAGATGTGATGCTCTGTCCTGGGGAAAGGCCTGTCGCTGCTTTTTCTCAACCCTGGACATGTGAATACACACAGTGAAAAAATGTAGTAGATTCCAATAACTCCAGCACCTTAACATCAATATTTAAAAAATAAAATGGGGTGACAATATTTGTACAAGTAAACTCAGTGGATTTACTCCTTTACAGAAACTGGAATAGAAGAGACTCTATTGATAAACTGTTCCTAACAATGGACAGTAGGAATTTGGAGACAGCAATAACTGTATAGATCAAGTCTACCTTTGGGAATTCTTACAACTAATACTATCTACTGCTTTCTGCAGTCAATCTTATCCTTAATCAGTAGGCTTCAGTCTGTGAAGGAAGCTAGATCACAAGAAAGCATATTAACAGTTTTCTGGAATATAGGAAGTAGTACTATCATCTGGTTCATAACATTCTCATCTGCAATAGGAAAACACACAAGTTTGAACAAGTCATATTTCATAAAGATAGTATTTTGAGGCAACAGCCATTAGTGCAGTGTTGCTAAAATGGTTGCTCTGTGGTTTAATGGCAATGAAGTTAATAGAGAATTCTGTCTTAAATTGTTTTGTTGATCTATGGCTGTTTTAATTGATTCCCGTGCCTCCCCCCCAACAACACGCACACACACGCACACGCACACACACGCAGCACAGAGTCAAGTAGCACAGGGTCATCAAGTACATCAATCATCAAGTAGCACAGGGTCAGAGGACGGGCACACTGAAGTGTTCTGGGTTAGAATACAAGGCAGTCGAGGGGAAAGAGACTTAACGGTGGTCGTCTACTACAGATCACCCAACCAAGGGGAAGAGCTAGACTGGGAATTCTTAAGTCAGCTCACGGAGGTAGTTAGGTCAAAAGACGTGGTCATCATGGGTGACCTGAACTTCCCAGACATCTGCTGGGAAGAGCAGTCAGACAGGTCTGACCGCTCACATAGGTTCCTAGCCAAAATGCAAGACCTCCACCTAACCCAGGAGGTTCACAGCCCCACCAGGGGAGACGCTCTGTTGGATCTGGTGCTGGCCGCAGGTGATGACCTGGTGAGGGGGCTGTGG